ACCACACACACACACACACACACACACACACAATACATTACAGGACAATAAGAGTTTTCACTAATATTGATATTATATGCATATTTATGAGGCTTCATTTGGCAGCATCAGTGGCTATTCAAAGGCACTGTATATCCCGCTTCCATGAGGAAAATACTCAAATGGTACAGCAGTTACAAAAACTTATAGTAAATGTCTGTTCCAAGTATTTACAAGTATCTGTGCCAGCAGGGCAGGTGTGGTGGGCGGTGTGTGTCCCCTCAAGATGTCCGGGTCCTTAGAGAGCTCATCCTGAGCACAGTGAGCTCAGCTACATTTGCATCCTGCATCTCCACATCTTGTTGGCAGCTTTCTCTGATTACATACACTATGAGACCCATACAGATGAAAATGAGGAGGACTATGCCTATAACCTAGGGTACAGAGGAGCACCACTTTGTTTAGTAAATATCAACATAAAAGGCATCATGTTGGTCAATAATCTCTATTAACAAAGCTATAAGAATGTTCACAGATGTAACAGCAATTAATATGTTCTATAGAGTGCATACTCAGAGATAAGTGCTCTCATTGTGTTCATCATATGCAGTGGTTTATTAACAAAAAAGTAATCTACTCACCTGAGAAAACACAAACAGCTGTTGTGAGCGGAGCATTAGTTCTTGTGTGGTGACATCTCCCTCTCTAATTGGCTCACACCATTTCTGTGGAGCTGCCTTGTCAACTAGTACAAATCTACCCTCCCAGTCTGTCATAGCACAAGCAAAGTATTGGCCATCGAGGAACAATAAAATCAGCCACACGATAGCGGGAACAAAACTGGAGAGGGACACAGTTTTCCTGCACCACATATCACATCTGCATCCTTGAATGATCAGCATCAAAGTGAAGGCCATGACGGCAGGAATGATGAAGAATGCTGATGAAAACAATCCGTTCCATTTAGGACTGCAAGGACACTCAAACTCCAGCTCCACCAGCTTCTCTAGTCCCATGAGGATAAAGCCAAAAGCCACATTTGATACCAGAGGACTGTTACTAAGTTCATTTTTCAGCCTGGTAAGCCATTGTTGTCTACTTTCCATACTAGATTGACCAAAGAATGAAGACAGTCGTTGTAAAAAACCCAAAAGAGGATCCTCCGTTGTGAACACATTGGCAACAGCTAAGTGATGCGTAATTAACGCATCCAGGGGTAAGTTTTCCCCTCAGGCAAAATGCCACACTTCCACTCTGATTGGTTTTGAACAAAAGAGGGTGTGCCGTCTGCTCTGACATTTCTATAGCTGATTGGGCTTTGTGAAGTTTCAGGTGGGGTTACTTTTTAAATGTGGTCTTCCATGGACAAACTGGAGGGAGGGCTGTAAAGTGGAGGGAAGTTTGTTCTGCAATTGAGCAAAGATTGGCATTTTCCAACAAAACACCCATGAAGGGGTAGCCATATATCCAAGGGCAGGCTTTTACATTGAAGAATCAATTTGCAATCCCCAATTCACACTGCAACAAAACAAAAAGGAAGGGATTTCAAAATGAAAATCATATTCAGCTAAATAAAGGACACATAATTTACCACACATAGCTACAGTTGTTAGTGCTTGAAGTCCTCAAGCGTTTCCCCCATTTGCTACAAGTGTTTGGAATTACAAAAATGGATGCAAGTTGACACTTTTCTCTTTACCTCTACTGACCACGGGAGGTCGCCCATGCAGCGGGACAGCGCAGATTAAGGATAGAAGAGGATTACAGGAGGCCATGTTGAACTTTCAAGGGGATGTGGTACATACAGCTCCAGAGCACCCAGGCTAGGGATGTGATGACATAATTTATAAATGACCTCAGTGAGCTCAAGAGCATCACCATAATCTCCTCACGTTAAAACCTGACAGTATTTAGGCGCAATGAATAAAGGTCAGGAAAAACACCACTGATGAAAACTAAATTGCTTTCAGCTGATCTTCATATACACCTCAACTTATTTATAAAAAATCAATTATTCATACTCGTGTTATGGCAAGCACTTGACTACTGACCTGTCACTTTATAGGAGACGTTAATTTTGCAAGAGTTGTGGAACAAAGTTAGGGAATCATATAGATTCAGACTGTAAAACAGTTATAGAAATAACTCTGAGAGGGACAAACATCCATTTCTAATGAGACACTATGAACATGAGCACCTGTCATCTCATAGAAATAATAATAATAATAAACTGTAATGGCTAAAGAGGCACATAATTACTGTCTGAGTTGGAAACACCATCAATTAGCTACATAGGATGTGATTTTGTGTATTCGTTCACGGTCATAAGCGCACTGGGCACGCGCAGCCTGTCGTTGCTGCCGTCGGTGTCCTACCAGCATCTGTTCCTCTTTTGGTATTAAAAATAGACCGGTGCTGATAACAGACTTATGTTTCGACTGCATCATTTGCCGTCGGGAATCTTTTGTGCGCTACTTTCATTTTAATCACCGAGCCGTGACCGCGAGAGCGCAAATGCGCATCGGTCTGCGCATCTTTGAATCTTCAGAACCACACTGTGGACAATCTCCCTGACATCCAAAGACCTCTCCCCCGCAATCCTACGAGGCTTCTTCGCCGTTTATGGCCGCACATCGGCATCCCTGAGCCGCCGGCCTCGTTCCGGACCTTTCACTCATCGCTGCTCTCAAAAGCTCTCAGAATCAGGGAGACATTTCTACACCAAATTGAAACCGTCCTCGGCTGGCTATTTTTAAAGAACCCGGTGCAATGCTGGGCCCGTCTCTCTAGATCTTGTGATCACTAGCCTGCACGATCTCTCCTCCCACATTCGTCCGATCAAGACCCCGGTACTCTGATCGAGCCCCAACGATGCATCGTAACGCAGTGATGCTGGCTGTGGTCCTTTTGGGGAACTTGATGCTACCTTTCATCTCTGCTCAAAACGGTAAGCAAACAGCTGTGACCATGACATTACTGTTACCATCGCATTGAGGGAAAGTGACTTGGCTTGTGTGAGGACGCGAGGGAATTGTTTCTAAAGAGGATTTTGAGACCGCGTTAAAGCCATAGTTTCACACCAAGACTGCAATTAGACAGCAACATATATAATTTACTTAATGCCACGTTAGCAAATACAAATACGACTGTGTTGACGTTTTTACAATGTTATTTATTGCTGTATTGAGTTTTGTTGGCGTGTTTGTAGGAATAATTTACTGTCGCAGATTATGCTGTGGAATACTAGTAAGTTTTTTTTTAGTTTTTTTTTTTTTACTAAGGTCTAAGATTTGCAGTTTACCTTCACTGCCCACATGAGGTAGTAACCTATGGCTGTCAGTTTTAAGTTTGTTTAGTCAAAGGGGGAATTGGTAGTAAGAGTATGTCAGGCAAGACTAACATGCTCTGGATGCTGATCAAGTGACATTGTCAGCAGCAAACACAGGCAAAAGATTCACCTGATGTGTCTTGTAAACACTGCAAATACCAGGCCCTTCAGTGTCAAAGATGTGACTGAGCTTCTGATTGACTGAAACTGTTCTGTGTTATTCCACATTTTTTTTGCCATGCCAGCATAAATGATCATTTCTTGTGCAAATAATTCTGTCTGTGGGGAATTCTATAGTAAAACAAATAACAGTCCCATTTTTTAACATCAGATCTCCTACCAGATAGCCACAGTAAAATAAATAAATAAAAGTATTTGGCTGATAAGTATCATTTACGAAGAGATGAAAGGATACTTATTTGGCAGTTTTTGAAAAAATCAGTGTCTGTTAATCATAATAAAACTAGCATGACTTGGTTTAAACAAATGTCAGCAACATGCTGTTGGGTGTTCCAGGCTGTCGTCCTCTGATGCAGCATGTCCTGACTCCAAATTCTGTTGAATCACATCACCCAGAGGGTCTCACATATCAGCAGCCATTCATGAAATCAAGGTGGAGTCTTTATATTTTTAATGTTTTTAATGTTTAAGTATTTCTTTAGTAAGCGTGATTATGAAGACAGCAGTAAGATGATATACTTCTGGAAACAAAGTGTTTAATCTCATAACTGACTCTTTTACGAATCTGATGTAGCCACATGTCAAAACCCACGTGCTCACAAACGAGTGACACTTAATCTGCTATCACAGAAAACTGTGGCAGAGAATTATGATGCATACTCATAATTTTAATGCTTAGCGTCCACCTCGGCTTTGCTGCGGGGGATAATCGAACACCCACTATGCAAGAATTAATATAACATGTGTTTAGATGGTTGTTTGAGAACACTGTGAAAATTCCAGCTCTGTGGTTGCTAATTTTGCAAGTATTTCAGATCGAACATTTTCAACATTAGCTTAGTCTAATCAACATGGGAATAACAGCTTGCACTATTTTTATATAATACAAACAACAAAAATGCTAAAATAAATAAAGTGCTGCAACAAAAATCTTGATAGTTTAAAAAAAAGTGCAAAAACAACCTATGTTTATTTAGCTTGGGGCGGACAGGAGACTCAAATACCAACATAGTTATATAACAAAATTATTACTCAAATTCTTGTCTTTCTTTATTGTTAATTTCTTTGAAGTGCCTGAAGTGAGTGTGCATACTGTGAGGCATTCTCTCATCTCGCTATCTGGAAAATCAAATACACAATAATTCCTCTATTGTTTGACAAAGCTCAAGTAATGTCTTTCCAGACACTTCCTCTGGTCTCTGCCCAGTTTTATTACCCACTCACTGAGGTCCAGTTCACACTACAGAAACACTCACACACACAATAACATCCAGTGGTCAGTGAGAGGCAGAGCTATGCCACTCAGGCTGTCTGTTTCATCTGTATTATGTAGAAATCACAGGTTTGGTAAGTGCAGTGATAAACTACTGTTAATACCAAAGGTAATATTTACTCACATTGCATGCAAAGGCCATTTAATTTCTCTCACACAGTTCAGATTTAGGGTAATCGGTGCATGGCTTCTTATGCAATCCGAAATTTTCCTGTGATATTACAGAGTTCAGACAGTGATGTGGGGACAATAATAATTATAAGTGCATGAGATGTAATCACTGTATCTAGGAAGCAGAGGGAATTCAAGTCATTTCCTCATTCCCTGGGAAAAGTAGGCCCATATAGGTGCACAGTTTCTGTGACAGAAATTTGGAGGGACTGTAAATAGCATCCGTCCATTCTGCCTCGTTTCTATTTTTACCACCGAGACACAGCACTGAGAACTGTGGCTTTAAGGTCCTTTTGTGAAAGTGAATCCATTAACTCTTAATGGATGGCCTCCTTGTGCACAGCTGCCCGGCCCTCTAAAGAATCACTAGGTGGCTGTGGACTATTTAAGCTGAGAGATGATGTGATCTTGATGCAAAGAAGGTACTGGCTGTTGAGAAGGTAACTAGAGCTGACCTAAGGAAATGCCTTTGCCTCTTACATAATTTCCCCCTACGAATCACGTAGTATACTCTTTTTTTTGTTTTGTTTTTGCATCATCTGTGTTTGCATGAATCAAAACGTGGAGAAGGCATACTAAGGTATTTTAAATAATGAACTGATATTATCACTTACATGTTCAAATGTAAACACTGTTTTCTGTCATTGAGGGGCTCAGTTAAGACTGAGCATATATGGCATCGAAGATGGCTTCTTCTTTGGGGTTTACTATCTACGTACAAAGATAGGAATGCTGACAAGCCACACCTAAATGCATTCCAACATGTAAGCAACAACCCCCTCAAAAAAAAATGTAATAATAGTTTTCTTTGTCAATAAGTGACCTTCTTTTTCTGCTTTATGTCACTTAGGCATTATCTTCATCTGAAGCAAACAAAGCATTTTAAGATGGTTCATTTGTGAGTCTGGAAAATATGCTGTGGGACGGAAGCCAAACTCGTACACTGAGTCATGCCTGCCCACTGTGAAATGTGATATGGCCTGTAGTGATTAGGAGCACCATTGCACTTTATTAAACACATTGCAGGCATACAAAATAATGATGCACATCTGTAACACACACTGTGATTAAAAAAAAAACAAAAAAAACAATATATATATCTATATAAATATAGATATATATATTGTTTTTTTTAGTACCACCCTGCTGTGCATTCAGATTCACTCCTGGCATCTCCGCAGTTTAGCTTCTGGCCTCTGATACTTACTGTTCTCGTAGCTGGGAACAACCCCAGCTATGTGTGCTGCACAAGGACTCAGGGTCAGAGAGAATATTCAATTAGGATGTTACTTTGATTTATGTGGAGCCAAACTTTCTAATGGGCATGAGTGTTTTTCAAGTGATATAGCACAACAGAAAACCTATTAGCTGATTTTCAGCTCACATTTATCGTGACAATAGTTCTAACTAAAAGTACAGTAGGAGACTTGGGAATAGCATTTGTCACCTTGTGTGGTAGACAGTACTTTGAGCACACTAGTGTAGTTCTTATTTCTGGAATTATTGTATTGTTACATCAAATAATTTAAACTCCCTTGCTTTCACTTTTGAGCAGAAGTAGGAAGTGTTTAGTGGTTTTATGGGATTAAAGAATTTTTACCCCCCGCACAAGGTTTATTGGGATTTAAATCTCATTAAACTGTTGCCTCTCGTCTGTGATCCCAATATCAGATTCAAGTGTTACCAGTAGAACTGAAATGGTGAGCCTGAGGCCTCCCTTTTCTGAAAACCTAGCTTGCAAGTTTTAATTACAATTATATGTGAGTCAGAAAACATGTATTCTATAACTTGTATACTTTTTACTCAGAAATAAGTGAACACTGAAAGAATTTTATTAGCATTTATACATCTTTTTATTCCAGATGTTAGTCCTGACCCTCTAGTAGCTATATACATTTCATGCATATATTCATTTTGGCATATATTAATATTTTAGAGACTCTGAAGCTTTAGTGAAGTGGTTTTAAGAGTAATTCTGTTTACTCTACTGAAGCATCCACAACCAATTAGCAATAGATTTCATATGTAGTAGTTATTTTACCAGACTCGATGTACAGAATTAATATTTGGGTTCTAGCTTTGATTTTCTAACAACTAAGCTTTTTAATGCCATATATTTGCAACAATGATAAAAACAGTTAAGTTTCAGTACTGCTCTTTTCTCAAACATGCTTCTAGCGTTTTAAAGATGAGTTTCATACATACACCACTTCGTGTTTGGTAGGTATTTAAAGCAGGACAACTTTTAGAAGTGGTTACTAGTGATGTAATATGCTGGTCATTTGGTAGGCGTTAGTGTTCAGAAACATGGAATTAGGGTTAATTAAAGTTTTAATGATCTCAGTGAAAAAATACATTCATAAAACCGATCCCATATGCATGTGGAGTCCTCAAATGTAAAGACACTGTTGCTGATCTAGGCATATGGAACTTACGCAATATCATGAGTCCATCTGCTAAGCTGTTATTAATGTTATATCTACAGCAGTCAAGAATAGCCTCTGTGCTGCAAATTTTAGTACCAGGGGATACTATCATTATCAGCTTTTACAATAAAACAGACTACAAGGCATTTAGGTGAAGTGTTGAAATATGCACCAACGTGAACTGGTGACTTAATTTCAGTTGGGGCCTGAATGGGATACTTCCCGTTTGTCTTGTTAAATGATTTATTCTAAATAGTGACTTTATCTAAATATGCACAAACTCACAGACCTGTATTTGATGTTTTTTTTTTAAATATATTTCTCCATTGCTTATGCTCTATGTTGTGTCCTGCACTTTATTTTAGCTCTGCATTTTGTAAAACAGTTTTTTCATTCATCCTACTAGATACCCAAAGCACATAGAAGCTCTTACTTAAGCCTAATCTGATGATCTCTGATGATTGCCTACAGAATTTGCTTGACAAATAGATTCCTGATCTTCCTCACTTGTTTTGTGGCACCTGTGAGGGCAGAACATGTTACAGTTTTATGATTATTTTTGATATTTG